TCCTTGATGCACTCAATGAGGTCTAGTCTGATTTGGCTTCTAGAGGGACCTTCACCAGTGGATAAGGCTGCAAGCTCGGCCTTCCTACTAAGTGCATCAGCAACCCTGTTCATTGTCCCTGGCTTGTACTCTAGAGTCATGTCAAACTCCGCTAAGAAATCTTGCCATCGAGCTTGCTTAGGGCTCAGCTTCTTCTGTGACTAAAAGTAGCTAGTATCTATGTTGTCAGTCTTGACCACAAACTTGGAGCCAAGCAGGTAGTGTTGCCATGTGCGGTGGCAGTGGACAATGGCAGTCATCTCCTTTTCTTGCACAGTGTACCTCCTCTCTGCATCATTCAGTTTGCGGCTCTCATAGGCGATGGGATGCCCTTCTTGCATCAAGACCCCACCAATGGCAAAGTCAAAAGCATCTATGTGTAGCTCATAGGGCTTGCTAGGGTCTGGCAAGTTGAGGACAGGTTCTGCTAAGCTCTCTTCAAATCATCAAAAGCTGTTTGGCAAACTTCATTCCAGGTCCAAGTGCTAGTCTTCTTCAGTAAGTTGGTGAGGACAATGGCTCTTGTCGAGAATCCAGAGTTGAATCTTCGGTAGTAGTTTAGGAGGCCAAGGAAAGAGCGAAGCTCGGTGACCTTGGTGGGAGGTGCCCAATCTTGAATGGCCTTGACTTTAGCTGGATCCATGTTGATTGTGCCTACTCGAATCACATGGCCGAGGAAGGCCACCTCTTCTGTGGCGAAAGAGCGTTTTTCCTTCTTAATAAACAAGTTGTTGTCTCGCAAAACCTGGAAAACAGTGCGGAGGTGGTCAACATGTTCCTCCAAGGTTCTACTATAAATTACAATATCACCAATATACACAACAACAAATTGGTCTAGGTAGGGATGAAATACCCTATTCATCAATGTACAAAAGGTGGCTGGCGCATCAATGAACATAAGCTATTTTGTGTTCATCACCTTCGGCTATACGCACTTGATGGTACCCCAACCTTAGGTCTTGCTTGGTGAAGTACTTGGCCTAGCTGAGCTGGTCAAAGAGGTCGGCCACCAAAGGTATGGGATACATGTTCTTGATGGTGAGCTTGTTGAGGGCTCGGTAGTCAATACAAAGCCGAAGAGATCCATCATGTTTCTTCTAAAATAGGACTAGTGCTCCAAAAGGGGCCTTGGAAGGCTGAATCAACTTAGCATCCAACAACTCACTCAACTGCTTTCGGAGCTCAACCGACTCAGGAGGAGACATTCTGTATGGCGGGCATGCTGGTGGTTTGGTTCCATGCTCCAACTCAATCTTGTGATCAACTTCTCTCCTTGGGGGAAGCTTCTTCGGCAATGTGGGAGGCATAACATCCTTGAATTCTTCTAGCACTGTTGTAACTGCTGGTGGGAGATACCCGATTGGTTGGCTGGGCAGGTCGGAATCCACCAATGTGGCCAAGTAAGTTGTTTCTCCTTTCCACACTCCATCTTTGAGTTGCAATGCTAAGAGCATCTTGGGGTTGGACTTGGTCTCTGGCACAACTGGAACCATGCAAGGAGCCTGATCTTTGAATGTGCACACTGAATTGAGGAAGGGAATGGGCACCGCCTTTACTTGAATTAAGATTTTCATTTAGAGAACAACCTGAAAATCATCAATGGGCATGACCAAAATGTCTATCTTCCCTTCCCAGTCACCAAGTTGCAGGACCACTCCATGAGCTACACCTTGTATGGGCTTGGCATTAGAGTTCACAACCTTCAACTATCCAACTTCCTTGGTAGGTGCAAGTTCCACTTTGGATTTCTCCTCCAAAGAGATAAAGTTGTGTATAGCACCTATATCCACCATGGCTCTTGTGGATTTATCGTTCAAGTGGATATCTACATACATCAGTCCCTACGGCTTGAACTTTGGTGCTTCTTGCAGGCTCGCCTTCTTCTTCATTGCATTGAGTCTTCGTAGAGCTCCCATTCTTGTCTCTTCTGGTTCTTTCTCCTCTTCACTGTGCTCGTCATCACTAAGCTTTGCAAGCAAGGCATTAAGTTTTCTCCGACTAGGACAATCCTTAGTCCAATGTTTTCCCTCACAAATGAAGCATGGTGAGGGAGGTGTCCTCTTCCCAAATTGGCCACCCTTGTAGTCGGAGTCCCCCTAAGGTTTCTTGTACAACTTGAAAGTGTTGGATTTGCTTGGCCCGAAGTCTCCCTTGGGCCCATAGTAAGGTTTCTTGTCACCTCCAATCTTCCCTTGGCCCTGATATGAGTTGGATTTAGGGCAATCCTTGCTTGGTCGCCTATTGTCTACCAATTGTTCAGCAACGACCATGGCTGTGGCGAGGTCCTTCACACCTCGTCGCTGGAGTTTAAGCTCGACCCATTGTTGCAGATTGTCCATAAAGTTGAAGAGCAAATCCTTGTCTAACATGTCTGTGATCTCGAGTGATAGTGCGGAGAACTCCTTCACGTACTCATGCAATGAGCCTGTGTGCTTTAGGTTCTTGAGCTTTCGATGGGCTTGGTACTCCACATTCTCTGGATAAAACTGGCGCTTTATCTTGCTCTTGAACACGGACCAGGTATCAATGGAGCATAATCCTCGCTCTGCATCGGCACATCTCCTGTGCTACCATAACATAGCAACATCAATAAGATACATAACAACAGTGTGCACTTTGGACGCCGCCTCAACAAGTTCGATGGCGGTGAAGTATTGTTCCATAAGTTGTCAAGTTTTCGAGCATCTTGGATCCCTGTGTATGGGGTAGGTTCGAGGACTTTGATCTTTGGAGGTGTTAGAGTAGCAGGGGCACTGGTTGTACTGGCCATTAGTCTCTTCAAAAGGGTCACTTCACCCTTCAAGTCGTCGAGCTGGGTCTATAGGCACTTCACCAAGTCTTCTAGTGGGTTACCTAGCCTGTTGGAGCTATCAACGGACTAGTCCTCCAATCTTCCAACAACCGCTGCCACGGTCTCTATGTTGAGTTGAAGCTCGTCCACACGATCATGAGTTTCACCAACCACTGCTTCACAGCGCGTGATGCGCTTGTCCATCGTCGCAAGCTTGTCAACCGACTTGTCATGCTTGTTACGCTATGAGCTGGCGCCTTTGTCCTTGGGAGAGCTACCTCTATGCTCGTCCTCATCATAAACCCGTGAGATCCCTTCCTGGATCTCCTCTAGCGTTTTTCGCTTCTTCATCGGGCTGGTGTTGTTGCAGGGCATGACAGGGATTCGTTGGACTTGACAACTGCTAGCATCAACGAAGCTCTGATACCAACTGTCACGAGGCTTTGTGTTGGGGCCCCGTGCGGCACTCGTTAATCGATAAATAAGCCTAAGAAGCCAATAAGAAAGCAACAAAGCAACAACAAATGCACACAGATTAGACAAAAGGCTCTTTGTATTGCATAAATTGGTGGCAAGCACAAACACACGGTTTAGTGTCGAGGGGATCTCGTGCTTAACATTTACACGCTAATGACTCACTCGACTACCTACCTCCCCTCAAAGAGTACGTTAAGCTTTTGGGGAAGTGATAAAACGATATATCAAAATACCGAATATTCATACTACTATTTATATAATTGCCATTGACATACCCCCTTTACAAAAAGAGTACAATGACCCAACCCAAGACACATGAAGACACTTAGATCGTGTGCTGATGACGTATTTGATGGTGATGATGGTGGCTGATCCGTCACACAAGAACAGTTGATGTGAGCATTGTGGCACTTCTCACTCTCGTGCTCGACGTGAGCAATGTTAATGGTGATACCTCTGGCCTTCTCTTCGAGAGCAGCGTCGATTTCGTCATATTTCTTGGGAGCACTGTTACCAATGGCAGCAAGGCCAAGGTTAGGGTGCGGTGGGAGTGTTCTTATTGTGGTCAACATGGCCAATTAGCAGGTTTGACCGTCAAGGAGTGGTGATTCCGCTGCATCCTCCCATGCAGCGGGTACGGGAAGCGCGGTTGCAATGGCTACTGCAGTGGGTATGGCCAACGATTTTAAAATCGAACTGGATAATGAATTGGTTCGAGGTCTGATTTTCGAGTCGAATGGTCTGATCGTTTAAACTGAATAGACGGTTTCTTCTAATAAAAAATAAATAAATAAATAAAAACAATTAAACCTTAAGATGGTTCAAATGATTCAACTGTCCGAATCAACGATTTATTGACCAAATCAATGGATTTTGGCGAAATAATGGTTCTGGATAAAATAGAAACCGGTTCCGGATTTTGAAAACCATGGATATGACTGTAACAGCCAATGGAAGCAAGCTTTTCTTCCTCTCTTCTCTACTTTTGTCTTTTGGTATACAGCGCCCCCACATCACTTGCCGCTGAAAGGCGTACACAGGCAACGCAAATGGAGAAAGACAATAATAGGAGAATTCAGTGGAAATTTGAAAAAACACATATTTTTCAAATTAAACATTTATTCTGGACTTTTTCATTAACCATGAATAAATGCTTAGTTTTCAAAAAACTTATTTAAATAGACAAATACTATAAGTGAACACAAATAGGGGGTTAGTACTTGCGTAAAAACATGAGCGATCACATGGTTAAGGTTCCCTCTTTAATTTTGGGGTCCAATGGAAATGCCCCTTTCACTAAAAGGGACATTGACACAACCAATTACGAGTGAAATTGTTTTGTTCATTAATGTTTTCCTCTATTTATAATCCCAGAACAAATCAGGACTCAGGGATGATTAGTTGGCCTTGCCCCGCGTTCAATACTTGAAAGAGTTGGGAGAGTGGAATATCAGCTGTAAAAGAAGAAGCAAATTCCAGAATCCTCTCCAGGTTGTTAATTGAAGTGGTAGGCCATGATGTGTTGAGTCACTCCAACATAACAGATGGGAGACACTAATCTCAGACTCTCGGTGTGCTCACCGTGTTTGCCTCCCTACTTTACTACTGAATCGAAATTATCTGTTAGCCCTCACTTTCCAAGAATTGGCCCTCCGCCATCTCCCTTCCTCTCTCTCTCTCTCTATATATATATATTCTATGACTCCGCAACAACCAATTCACACATCCTCTGATACTCACAACGCTTTCCTTCATCCACACCAATCCCCCCTTCAGATTTTGGTTGTACCTGTAATTTCTCATCGTCCACGGCTACACCATGGCTATCCGTTTGCCTGGATTGCAAATCCTCCGACGGTCTCTTCCCTCTAAGACCGCTACCGTCGGTGTCCCAAAGGGCCATATTGCAGTTTATATTGGGGAGACCCAGAAGAAGCGGTTTGTGGTTCCCATTTCGTACCTAAATCATCCTCTGTTCCAAGATTTGCTCTGTCGAGCTGAGGAAGAGTTCGGGTTCAATCATCCGATGGGCGGTCTCACCATTCCATGCCAAGAGGAGGTCTTCCTCGATCTAACCAGTCGTTTGAGTAGCTCATGAGAGAAAGAATCATGGATGAGGATTCGAATATAGTTTGGCCAAGAAAGAACTTGGTGCTCGCCATTTTTCATCATTCATTCATTCCAATTTTAATTCCGGCGCCAAAAACAAAATTTAATTCTGGCAACTGGGTTGTTCCCAAGTTTCAACCCTTTGTGATATTTATTTCATTCTTTTTCTCTCTCTCTTTCGTAAGGAAATTGGGAATTTATTAATTATTTCTCCCTCATTGTAAAGTTTCAGAAAGTTGATTGTTCTAACTTGGCTCTTATAATTTACCTTAGAAGGCTATGAATTTCTTGCCTCTCGACTATCTATGTTTAGTTTGAAGGAAAAAGTAGGAAAAGGAAAAGAAAGGAAAAAAAGGAAAATCTTTACAAATTTTGTATAAATTTCTCTGCATTTCCCTTCTTTTTCTTGTTCTTTCCTTCAAACCAAACATAGCGTAAGTGATTAAGTGGCGTTTATGCAGAACTCTTGCTTAGATCCAAGCAGGATTCTCTACTTTCTACCCACTCTGTATTGGGGAAGATCTATAAGGCCTCAGATGTGCATGCATACCCATAAGAATGCTCCTCTAGCTTAGAGCTTCATAGTACCGAGAGAAATCACTCTTGGCCCCCACCCTACAAAGGATTTCATTTTCAATTTTTCATCCACCTAAAATAGGATTCCAATACAACATGGCCCGTATTTTCGAATATCTCAATTGTCATTCATGAATAAATACATACAAAATAATATAAAATACAGGATTTTGCACTCTTTATTCTAATGCACAACGATGTTGTTTCATGGGTGGGGATGTAGGAACTGTTTCTAGGTAGGAGACCCGAAGTGGTAATCTTCCCCTTAACAATCCTCATCCGGTGATCCCACTCCAAAATCGGCTTCCTAAAATGCAAGAAATCCTGAAATAGTTTACATTATTCTTCTTTTCTAGAAAAAAAAAACAATAGGTTTAATCTGTATGTTTGTGAAATTTTAATCACTGCATTTTGAAAAATATTCTCAATCCCATGAATCAACCTCACAAGTGTAGTGAAGATGTCATTTTACTTGGATCCATATCCACTAGATTGGGAAAAGAGCATCTTTTAATATACAGGATAAATTAATTAAGCTTCCTTGATTTGGTTAAAAACCAAATTGGTCATCTGACCAGTTCCATTCAGCCCAGAACTGTTTTTTTGGCTAAAAACTGTTGATTTGGTCGGTGAATCACTGACCCGGGCAGTAGAACCATCAGTCTGTCAACCCGGACAATGGTTTTTAGTTATTTTTTTTATTATTTTTTATTTTTTTTGTCAGAATAAGCTGTCCATTCGGTTAGAAGGATCGAACCATTTGACTCAAGAACCAGACCCAAAATGGTTCTCTGTCCAATTCAATTTTAAAAACCTTGAATGAGACAAAATGCTCCTCCAGAAACTGTTTCTGCTGCAAAACAAATAAACAGTATTTCTTAGAAATAGGATTCTCGTATACATCTGATATTAATAATCATCCATAATCAACCAAGATAGAATAGCCCTATTTCATTAATTTAAAATTTCACATAACATCATCAGTCGAGGTAAAACTTAAGCGGTTCAATCAATTCATTCCACAAATTAACTTCTACTTCAAACCTATACTTAAAATAAAGAACCAATAGAGAACCTCAAACCCACCTACACTGTAACATAAACATAACACAAAATCAGATCTATAGCATCATTCAATCAAAATAACTAATAACAAATAAAATGCAGGAAAAACACAAGCAACCTGATACGAGTTGTTTAAGGCATTTAGGTTTCAACAAAATTCATCTTTTTAAAAGGACGACACTTGAATGCAGAGTGAAGGAGAACGGAATTTTCATGAATCCAAATTAAGCAGACGATCCCAAATGACAGATTCTGTTCATCTAACCTAGTCGAGGGCAGTTGGGCTTAGGTCAGTGCAAGTCCATATTCACATTATTCCAATAACCTCTTACAACTTTGTATTAAAATATCTCTACATGAAAAAAGTGCAAGTACGGAAAAATTTTCAATATTAAGGCTGTAAAGACTGTTAGAACGTGCTTTCCACCGACGGAAGCCGAACTCGGTTGCAAAGCTAACTCGTTGTCATAAATGGGTCGCACAGTTTTGCTTACTGTTATCTCTTGCTTACACTGTTATGTGATGTAGGTTAATTTCCTGCCGATGGCCATGGATGTGTGTAGAAGTGAAAAAATTAGGCTGTGTTTTGGTTATAGTACAAATTTATTTGCATTAGTATAAATGCATGAGAGTATAAATGTAATAAATGCTAATTTTTGTTTAATTTTATTTTATTTTTCTTCATGTCTTAATTTACTTCTTTACTACAAACAAAATAAACTAAAATTTGAAACAAAAATAGGTTAATGGGAAACATGGGTATGGATGTGATCACATGGTGTGGAATTGTGCGTGCTCGAAGGGGTTTAGGGATGAGGAGAATGACGTATATGAATGATGCTCTTTTGTGTAAGGTTGGATGGCGGATTTTGACAGAGGATAGAATGGAGACTGGGTTCAACTACTTAAACAGAAATATTCCAAGTATAAGATTCGACCCCTATTAAAACTGGGATGCTGTTGGAAGGTCGGGGATCGATGGGGCTTCGATAAAGGTTTGGGAGGATCTTTATGGTCCCATTGTTGTGGAGAGGAGAGGACCGATGGGAATAATGTTTGATGGTGCATGATTTGGTGCTCTCTGCTGTTATATAGTTCAAATGCTGGATTGAGTAGGGCGCTCGGCCAAATTGTAAGAGAGAAGTGTATTGAGAGCTAGAAAGCGATGAATGTATTGAGAGCTAGAAAGCGAAAGAGAGTTAGAACACTGTGAGAGTTAAATCTCACATACCTTTTCTAAGGAAAGGGATGTCTTTATATAGGAAAGTTGTCACGAGGCTCACGAAGCTCATTCGAGATCTCTAGTCGATTTAGTTCGGAGGTGGTTTCACGCCTGAAGGTAAACTTCACGTAATCGAGTAGTGCTTATCCAGTCGTGCCCAAAGCGGACAGAGTGATAATTACCAGCTCTTCTGATATGGTGACGTGATCCCCAAAAAGTCGGAGATGATAGCCCACTTAAGAAGTGTTGGGAAATGGGGTCACTGTAACTTTGAAGGAGAAGCTTTGAGGCGCATCTGAAGACACTGTCTTTAGAACGTTATTTGCCTCCACTCAGTTTCATTGAGTTTGTTGTTGGGTTACAAGCAAATCCGTTCCTGAGATACAATAGAGCCTTGGGCGAGAATCTGCAACCAGCAAAGTTGAAGAATCTCCGAAAAAACCTTCTGTGAGACTATAGCAGACTGGACTGAGAGAGAGAGAGAGAGAGAGAAAGTGATTTCGAAAAAATGTGTGTTTTTGAAGTCTGATTCATACTCAAATAGATTATGAAGAGGTATGAAAAAAATGTATGTGCTGGTTCAGATAAGGCACCCTGATCACACCCGATCGAATTGTGACCAATGATCTCATCAACGGTGATCAATGGTCAGCATCACACCAAAACCAAAGCTGCCCTTCGTGAGCCACGCGGGTGTGAGCAAAGTGTGCCTCATTACGCCACACACACGCGCATGCGTTGCACGGTATCAAACCTCCATACTCTCATTTACTATTTCTAAGGAGTGTAAATTAGCTCCTATTAAAATACTGAAAACAAAGCTTATAATTAATCAATGTGGGACATATTCAAAACTGGGTTTTATAAGAGAAAAGCTAATTTTCCAAACAAGTATGCAAGTGCAATTTCTCATATAATTGACTGATCAAACCCATTGGATTTAATCTCTTATGAGATTAAAATCCAAGAAAAAGAAAATTTGGATTTAATATCTGAGGGGGAGCCTATTCTTGAATCCAACAGAGTGGAGCCAGGGTTCGTAGAGTATTCTATAGCTTGGAGTATATATTAAAATTCTATTTGATGGGGCTTTTAAACATGGTAAAGGTGTTGCACCATAGCTCTGTGTGGCTGTGGGGGTGGATGGCAGATTCCAGTGTGCAAAAAGTATATTTAACTCTATTTAAAAAATTCAAGATATATGTAAATCAATTTATGAAAATACATGGTATATTTAAGTCTTTTATCCTAATTAATAATATATAAAATTATCCTGTCTTTTTAATTTTATTTTTATATTTTTAGTTATATTTATGTCTAAAAAAGTAAATTTCATGGAGAATATATAAAATAATTATGGAAATGAACATTTTATCAACAATTTAGTATTTTATTTAAATTTTATTAAGGTTATACCATAGTTATAAGTAATTATAATTGATAATTATAGATAATAAGGTTTATATCATGGTCAGACACAATGAATAATTGGTTTGGTTCTGAGGGTATGAAATTTTGTCCCGATGTTAATGGAGAACAGGGTTGATGCACCTTATCCTGAACCAAACCCAACATATTTACAGCCCTACTTATACTTTTGATCTCTCCGAATTTCCTCCCAAGGCTCAGTTTGGAAAAAAGTATAAATATACAGTACAAATGTATATGAAATAATACGAAATATAGGGCTTTAATTTGCAGTCTACGTATTTGTATTTTAAACTCCTTCCAAACCGAGCACGAGAAAAGTACAAATATAAATATGTACAATATAAACATAAGATTTATAAATACAATATACAAAGCTTTGCATTATACATATTTGTATTTGTGCTCTTCCTAGTACAAATATATAAGCTAAGTTTGTTTATGGTGTAACCTCCAAACTGGTGTTATGTTGCACTCCAGTCTGGTTTAGCAAGCATTTGGTAGAGGTATTAATATACCTCGTAAATCAGTGTAAAATTTCATTCATATCAGTTTTTACCTCGAAAATCAATGGAAATTTATATTGATTTTATTTATGTAAAGCTTTCCCTTCTTCTCCACCGAAGTAAAAAACTTGTTCAATCTCCTCTTCTCTTCCCACTGGATTCAATACAACGATCACCTCGCATCTACTTTTCCCTACTGTCAACAACCAAGGTAAAGATAATATTCTGATTTTGGTCTAATGCTCTCTCTCTCTCTCATCTCTTTGGGGTCAAGGTTTAAAATATCGATACGGCTGATATGCCAATAGGGGTGTATTGGCCTATACTAAAGTTCATTTCTGTTATTTTTTTAATTTTGTTATTCCGATTCGGAGGAATCGATTTAAGACCTATCTACCCCCTAACTGGGTTAAACCCAGAAACACTCCCTATAGGAACATATCGAGAAGCCCTCAATATGATATGTATCTCCTAATACAGCCCGATACATATAAAAATTTTGAAC